TGTGTGTGTGTGTGTGTGTGTGTGTGTGTGTGTGTGTGTGTGTGTGTTTACCCGCAGTTATGCTTTAATTTGTCTGACTGAAACACTTCGAGTGTCTCCTTGAGGCCTGACAAATGCATTTACTTCCTCATGAAACTTTGTTTATTGAGCCCGTTCTTTAAAACACGGCCCAGTCCCAATGTTGCCCCCCTAAGGACTAAAACCCGGAACCCTCGGGGACTTACCTGACGTCACCCGGTAGATGGTTGAGTGAGAGAGGCCGAAAGAGCTTGAAATGGTGTAAATACGAACGGGACAGCACTGTGCGCCAATATATCACGTTACCTTGACAACATCTTAACGTTGTAATGTTATGCACAAGTATTTTACTGCCTGATTTGAACGTCTTCCAGGCTCTTGCCTTACGGGGCCACAGGTCATTTTCTTAATCTTTTTACTCTTTTTTTGACAAAGCAGCTTCAGCAAGCTAAATTAAAAGAAATGGTAAACTGGGTGTGTAATATAGTCTCTGCTTGCATCTCTCTGATTTCATGAGGTCCTTAATGTTTCTGTGTACATGTAATATGCCAAGCAGAGCACCCATACCTGATATAAGACATAGGAGTAAAAAAAACCTAATTAATTCGCTCATTTCAAATATGTAATCATATTTTATTGAGCTTGCTGACTCTGAATTAAGTTTTTTGGCTCTTGGTGTATTGCCCAGCCTCCACTGCATAGTATTAATTAAACACCCAGCGGAACCAAAGCCCATGTGATTTATTGGTAATTTAATCTAGAAATATTGGTGGTTCTTTGGTGTTTGATATTCCAGTGAAGCACACAGACTGACACAGAGTCTCCCTCTCTGCAGGTGGGATCAGGTGCTGGTGTTGGTTTCAATGTGAACATAGCGTGGACCGGAGGAGTAGAGCCGCCTATAGGGGACGTGGAGTACCTCACTGCCTTCAGGTACACATTAATATGACGTTTGGTGCATTGGTTAAAATTCGTGCAAATGCCGTAAGGTTAAGCAATATGCTGTAAAATGTGTGTGTGTGTGTGTGTAGAAGCGTAGTGATGCCCATCGCAGAGCAGTTCAGTCCAGATGTGGTCCTGGTGTCCGCGGGCTTCGACGCTGTGGAGGGTCATCAGTCTCCTCTGGGAGGATACAACGTCTCCGCCAAGTGTGAGTGCTACACCCGTCACCGCGGTGACTCCTAACCAAGACAATTCTCTGAACGCCGACATCTCTGCGGCGTGACTACCAAATACTTTTTAATCCGTGCTTCTTAACTGTGACCGGTGTGTGCGTGTGTGTGTGTGTGTGTGTGTGTGTGTGTGTCGGCAGGTTTCGGTCAGCTAACGCAGCTGCTGATGGGTCTGGCGGGCGGGCGCATCGTTATGGCGCTGGAGGGCGGTCATGACCTCACGGCCATCTGTGACGCATCGGAGGCCTGTGTCGCCGCACTTCTGGGAGACCCGGTGAGAGAGACAGTCAATCATTATTCATGGCTGGTTGTCCAATATCTCTGTGAATAATATGGAATTATGGCCGCCAATAAGACAAGGACTCAGTCTTTAACTAAGTACAAACAGTCAGCCAGCGTTACTTCTCAGTACAACGTTATTGTCCATTTGAATGTTAAAGGAACAGTTCAACATGTTGGGAAATGTGCTTATTTGCTTTTCTTTTTTTTCAGACTCAGGACTTGGTTAGCGTAGCTTAGCATAAAGACTGGAAAAGGGTAAACGTTTAGCCTGGTTCTGTTCAAAGTTGAAAAATACGCCTACCAACACCTCTAAAGCTCACTGGTAAACACACTGTTTACTACTTGTTTATCACACCCGGCCGAGCCAATCATGAGCCGAGCACCATGGTAGCCGTTTGTCAAGAAAGACACAACTAGCAACCATGATATCTATAAATACATTTATGATCAAATTGACTTACGTTCTATTACACAGACTTGGGATTCAGCATACAACACCCCCAAAATCCCAAATCTTTTTTCTTTTATATTTTGTGACAAAGCAGATACACTGTGTAAATCAGTAAGCTTTAGAAGTGCTTGTAAGTGTATTTTTTTCACTTTGGACAGAGCCAGGCAAGCTTTTTTCCCCGCCTGCTTCTGATCATTATGCTAAGCTAGGCTAAACACGCCATTCATAACACACAAGATTCCTATTTATCTTCTCACCTGACTCTGGGAGGGACAGTGAATAAGCGATTTCCCCCAAAATGTCGAACTACTCCTTTAGACACAGCAGTATCAGCGCACGCAGATGAGACTTACAGGTCGAGAAGCCTCCAGTCAGTCCTCGGTGGTCAGTGCTGTGTATTGTTGGATGTATTGAACTTAAAAACATGAAATACACAGGCTGATCTTTCTGTTAACACACGTTCTCTGTCTCTCTCAGTGTGACTCTGTGTTTCAGTGGCCTCAGGAGAAGCCATGTCCAAAAGCTTGGGCCTCACTGGAGAGAGTAATAGAGATCCAGAGTAAGAAACACACAAACACACACTCCAGAGATACACAATGATGTGAAGCTACAGCACGCCTTCATCCCTCTGTCTCTCCATCCCTCCTACAGATAAACACTGGTCGTGTCTCCAGAGTTTGTCTCAGACGAGTGGCCACTCGCTATTGGATGAGCCCCTGGGGGCTCAGGGCCAATCGGAGAAGGACGAGGCAGAGACGGTCAGTGCCATGGCCTCACTCAGTGTTGATGTTGAGCAGCCGTGCTCGGAGCCCGACAACGCAGAAACCTGCAGGTCAGCGATGCGCTGAGCAGTGGCCGTACGGCCGTTTATTGCTAGTAACCGGCACAAAGACATGGCCTGAGGCTTCTCACTTTTTATTCACCAAAATATGTTTTAATTAGGATTAACATTATATGATATTGAAGGGTATTTTTGCAAGAACGATATTTACACACGTGTGTGTGTGTGTGTATATATATATATATATACATATTTGTATTTATATATGTATTTATATGTACACATAGACATCTATGTTTTGACAAATGCTGTTAAATCTGACATTGTTTGATTTCACCCTCAGGTCCACAGAGGAGCCGATGGAAGAAGAGCCTGTGTTGTAGGAAGAGCTTAAAGGAGGATCACACACAAAAACCTACAAATTCACCTCCTTCTGGCACCTCCTCTTCCTTCTCTTCTTCCTCCGCTGAGTGTGCGCAGGTGCACACACAAACACACGCAGCAGAATTGTGCCGTTGTGGAGGACTCCCGATTTTTCCGAGGAGAACGTTGCGAACGCAGAAGAAGACGGGGACTGACGAAGACGCATCTCTTTTCTTCATCGGCCCAGAGGAGGAGCAGACGACTTGTTGGCATCTCCATGGACACCAGAGGAGGAGAGGGTCAGCGAGGGGACACGCGTCTTGTAACCAGCATACTTTGTCACCTGCACACAGCACCACTGAATTCTTTCTCTTCCATCCGACTTCCTGTTTCTCCTCTTGTGTCCACAGCGGGACCACGACTGTGGAATTTGAGTCAACATGTCAGACGCCAAGTGGACGACTTGTCCTCTTGTCTGTCTGTCAGAGAAACAGGCCGAGCGAACGTGGCGGAGCAGGAGTAAACTGTTTTTAAAATGAACAGAGGAGGAACTAGGTGCCTTTCAAAAAAAGAGAAAAAAAACAACAACAAAAGAACAAAAAATACCATCCAATCAGAAACCACAAAACACCACCGCAGCACCTCAGCAAACCCACCAGCCAATCAGGACTGAAGAAACACTGATGCACATGCTCATACTGCTGTCGTCTCAGTCACTTCATTTCTTGTTTCTTCATCTGGATGCCTTAATTTGTTCTTATCTCACTATTCAGCAACCTTGAGAGAGAGAATCATGAGAGTTCCTATATATATATATATATATATATATATATATGTATATGTATATGTATGTATATATATATGTACATATATATGTATATATATATATGTATATATATATATATGTATATATGTATGTATATATATATGTATGTATATGTATGTATATATATAT